TTGTTGTCAAAGGATTTAGACAACGAGAAGGTCTTGACTATTTTGACATATACTCGCCGGTAACAAGAATTACATCCATTCGGATGCTAATAGCGTTAGCCGCCTTGTATGGTCGTCAAATCCATCAAATGGATGTAAAAACAGCCTTCTTAAATGGTGATCTTGAGGAAGAAATTTACATGAACCAACCTGAAGGGTTTGTGGTTCCGGGAAAAGAAAAGAAGGTGTGTAGACTTGTTAAGTCTCTTTATGGACTAAAACAAGCACCCAAACAATGGCATGCGAAATTTGACCAAACAATGTTGTCAAATGGTTTTAAGATTAATGAATGTGATAAATGTGTTTACATTAAGAACGTTCCAAATCATATAGTCATTGTTTGCTTATATGTTGATGATATGCTAATAATGAGCAAAGACATTGCCGACATTCAAGCTACTAAGCGCATGCTTGCTAGTAAGTTTGATATGAAAGACTTAGGAGTTGCCGATATAATTCTAGGAATTAAAATCCAGAGGACTCCTCAAGGTCTAGCTTTGTCTCAATCACATTACGTGAAAATGGTACTTGAAAAATTCAAACACTTGGAATTTAGAAGTACAAGAACTCCAATTGACTTAAATCATCATCTCATAAAGAATAAAGGTGAAAGTACGTCTCAATTGGAGTATGCTCGTGTTTTGGGAAGCTTAGTGTACATCATGAACTGTACACGACCTGATATAGCTTGTGCGATAAGTAAACTTAGTCGATTCACAAGTAATCCCAACAAACATCACTAGGTAGCAATGAAACGAGTTCTGGGATATTTGGAATATACCCAAGACTACGCTTTGCACTACAATAAATATCCTGCGGTTATCGAAGGATATAGTGATGCTAATTGGATAACCGGCTCATCAGAAACAAAGTCCACAAGTGGATATGTGTTTACTGTTGGTGGAGGAGCAGTATCTTGGAAGTCTTCCAAACAAACATGTATCTAGGGGTGTGCATTCGAATCGGTTTATCGATAAATCGAATCGATTATTTGTTATCGGTTTATCGATATCGGTTTATCGATTTATCGATTTCGATTTCGATTTCGAAATTTTCCTTATCGAGTTATCGATTTCGATTTTGTCCTCTTCTATAATACCCTTTCCTTTAACCTAAGTCCCTAACCCTATTATTTCATCTACCACATTTAAGGAATGATCATACTTAAAGCTCAAGGGAATGAAGTTCAAATTAGTGGAAAATAGAATTAGCCGTGATGATGTATTTTTTTTTATACCGTTGGAGTGTTGGTGGCATACATTTGATCCCTTACTTTAGTTTCGTTGCATGTGCTTGTTGACACAATTTTTATGTTATAAACGGTGTTCGTCTTATTTTAGCTTCTTTTGGTCCATATTAGTTAGGCGTGTTTATAGCGATATACTTTCCGTGGAATCCCGCAAATTTTCTTATTGGTGTAATCGATAACCGAATCGATAAGCCCCAAAAATCGATAAATTAAAATCGAAAAAATTGAAACCTTATTGAAATGATAACGATAAGCATATGTACAAATCGATAATCGATAAGTAATTATCGATAAGGGTCAAAATCGAATCGATAAATCGAATGCACACCCCTACATGTATCGCTCGCTCTACAATGGAATCAGAGTTTATAGCGTTGGATAAAGCCGGTGAAGAAGCTGAATGGCTTCAGAATTTTTTAGAAGACATTCCGTTCTGGCCAAAACCTTTGGCTCCTATTTGCATACATTGCGATAGTGAGGCTGCAATAGGACGGACAGGGAGCGTTATGTATAACGAAAAGTCTCATCATATACGACGAAGACATAACACCATTAGACAACTACTTTCTAGTGGAATTATCACTATTGATTATGTAAGATCAAAGGATAATGTGGCGGATCCGCTTACAAAAGGCTTAACTAGAGAGGGAGTTGAGAAATCATCTAAGGGAATGGGACTATGGCCGAGAACAAGTCAACATGGCGGTAACTCTACCTAGAATTTTGGATGTTCCGAGATCTAGGTTCAAGGAGCTCAAACAAAGTTGTGATTGACCGGTTCAACATTGTAAAAATAAAATCTTTGGTCCATTCTCGTGATGAAGACAATGTTCGATAACAAGGATAGAACTTTACACGTTCTTTAATGATTACCTAAGTTTGATGAGGTATTTATCAAATAGTGTCAATCTAAAGGATTACACGTTTAGGAATCACCTATGTAAGTGTGAAGTGGAAGTCGCTCCAATGAGAATTCTGTAAGGCCAATTCTCTACGCACTTATGAAACCAGGCGGTGTTCATGGCTAAAACGAACACAACAATGAGAACCAAAAGACGGTTAAGGGTTGGTTGTGTGACATACGGTTGTCTAGGTATACACTAAAGTTCGACGGTTCAAAGATATCAAATCTACCGATTGACCGAGTTTATCCGACATATGTTCACTACGGAAAGTTCAAAGGGAAACCTACTTATCCAGATGCAATTAATCCTTACTTGCAAAATCACATAGCTTTCATCTATGATCTTTCTTGATACAGCCATATTGTTGGACTTTAAGCCATTGGGCTTTAAAGTAGAAGAAGTGTGAATTGAAAATGAAGGGAAATTAAAAATTTGAAGAAGTGAACTTTTGTCTTGCACTTTGTCCCTCATTGGTGAGGGACAACCACATTTGTGTGCTTATATATAAAATCACTTCTTAAAGATCTTAAAAGGAGTTGAAGAGAATGAACCATCGCGCCGTCGTCGTCGCTCGCTCGGCTCGGCTTTGGCTTTGGCTTTGGATTTGGATTTGGATTTGGATTTGGATTTGTCAAATGATCGATAAGATTATTTTTGGACAAAATTTATTTAATTATTTAATAATTAATTAAATGCCAAATCACTGCTGAAAATACGCCAGAACCCTGCTGAAGGTTCAGAGGGCTTCTCTGGCCGCGGTTCTGCCGCGACCGCGGTAGAACCGCGGCAGGCAGCGTATTCTTCTGAAAAGGCACCTTTTCCAGACACCTCTTCTGATAATTGCATATAAATTCTGAGGCAAGGCTCCATTTTCTACACACGAAAAATACTCCAGAACTTCTTTCTTTCTGAATATATTGCATCCTAATTCGCAGTCTCTCTCTCTCAAATTCGTAAGTGTGATTTTGCTCCGTTCTTTGAGTTCGTTGGTATCCTGCAGTTTGTATTGCCACTGTTGCAGGAAGGTTTATTCCGTTTTATCCTGGGAGGATTTAATCCATTACCTTGGCAACGTGTGAGGGGGTTAAAATTCCTTAAGGACACACAAGAAAATTGTGGACTCGGAATATTTCTTAAACTCTTCTGCTTTTCAAGTTTCTTTTATTTTTTCTAACAGTTTTTTTTCTGATTTTTGGTTTAACACAGTAACGCTCACAACATTAAGGAATTTAAACTAACGTTTCTGTGTAAAATTGGGACAGTAGTAGAATCTAAAAAAAATAGGGAGGAGGACCACAAACTTTCACAAAGTTAGTTCATATCGTTGAAAAACGGAAAAGGCAAAACCAATGGGACTTTTCTTAATTGTAGTGAAGAGTGAGATGACAAAAGACATCACAAATCCGCAAGAAAAGAATTTACTGTTCAAAGAGGGACGATGACCGATTACATATAGCAAATAGCCAAATAGGCCTTTTTTTGCTTTTGAGTTCTGATAGCGACAAACTATAGGAATAGGATGGCGCATGCACTGCTGCGCACGCACGCACGCACGCTCAAAAGGCTCAAATGCGTCGCTCCTAAGGACAAATACCCGTGCACATAAGTCATAACGCCTATTAAGTGTATGAATTTTTCTCACTTAATCATAATTAAAGTATTTTTATTTAATTATGATTTCTTACAGTTAATTTGAATAATTTGATACAAATATCAAATACGAATAAGTATTTTACGATAAAATAAAATATAACAATTGATAAAATTTTGGGAAATAAAAAATAAAAAGAATAAAAATATAAAATCATCTAAGTAATGCTAAAAAAAGAGCAGCCCGGTGCACTAAGCTCCCGCTATGCACGGGATCCTAAGAAGGGCCGGACCACAGGGGTCTAAATAAAGTACTACTTACTTTAAAACAAAATGGAACGTACCAACTTGAACATGATGGGATAAATGAGACTTTTTCACTCTTAATTAGAGATCTCATATTTGATCCCTAAAATAAAAAAACTAGTGTATTTTATGCTGAATGAATCTGAATTATAGTCTATTTGGCTAAGTTTTTTTCTTTCTTCCCAAAACCGCTTATTCCAAAGTTGAAGTGTTTGGACAAGATTTTAGAAGGAAAAAAATATTTTTGAGTGAAAGCAGAAGCAACTTTTGAGAAACAGAAAAAAATAGTTTCTCAAGTACTTTTGAGAAAAATCTACTTGGAAACACTTTTCAAAAATTTGACCAATTACTAATTACTATTGTTTAAAAGTATTTTTCAAATTAATTGGTCAAACACAAATTGTTTCTCAAGAAAAAGCTTTTTTTAACTGAATTTTATGGAAAAAAAATACTTTTAAAATAAGATTATTTGAGAAGTTTAGTGGGCGTTTGGACATAAGAATTGTAAAATTTTAAAATAGGGGAATCTTTTTTTTTTCAAATGAAAATGGTATTTGAAATTTAGAGTTGTGTTTGGACATGAATATAACTTTTGGGATGTTTTTGAAGTTTTGTGAGTAATTTGAATGAAAATTTTGAAAAACAGATTTTGGAGTTTTTTTAATTTTAGAAAATTTTCGAAATGCATTTTTCAAATGAAAATTAAAATTTTTAGAAATAAGCGTTGATTTCGGTAAAAAATTAAAAAAATTTGAAGAAAAGGAAATTCTTATGTCCAAAACGGGCTATATTCAAATAGGCTACTAGTCACCAAATTGAATTCACATTAAAAATGATTAAAAAAAGTATATACTAAACATATATTGTTATGTCTCCCCACCTTTTAAAAATAGTTGTGACATGTAAGGGAGCTGCAACTTGCCACAACCCACCCTCTCGCTTTGATACTTGGCCCTATTGCATCGAAAACCCCACAAATCTCAACAGCCTTTTCTGATCGTATCCCCCCTTCTATCTCTCTCTCTCTCTGTTATTACTCTACCAGTTTACAGGGCAGAGATTTTCTCTCTCTCTCACTTTCTACCTGTAACGGAGCAAGTTTCAGAGAGAGAGAATAGAATAGTGACTAACGAGAATGGAAAATGAGTAATGGTAGTAGAATAATACTCCAGTATTTGAGTAATGAAAGCAAGTGAGTGAGATCCAGCTCCTTCTCGTGATCTCATCTAATCGACCCAACCTAAGCCCTATTTCCGTCTTTAACGCCTCGGTTACTCCAACCTATTACTATTCTACTCTTTTTCTCCTTTTCACAAAACGAACTTCTTCAACTCTCTCTCTCTCTCTCTCTCTTTCTTCCCGATATTTTTTTTCGTTATTCTCCATCTGTGTCATTGTAGGATTCTAATTGAGTTGTCATTGGTATTTTTTGAACACTAAGGGATTGATCCGAAGACTACTACGATTTGCTTGTTTGGTTTCAGATATACATCTGTCTTCAATGCTGAAAAGCCTCATTTTCGAACACGGGCTTCTCTTCTACTCTGTTTGCTCGATTAATATATCTTAGGTAAAATCTCTATTGTTGCTAAACTACTTAGTTCTTAACTAACTGACAATAATTAACCTTAATTTTGTCATTCAATTGCTAATTGGATATTTGTTCTCAGTGGGTATCTTGCTCGGAGATTGAGGTTGGCAATTCGAAAATGTTAACTTGTATAGCATGTTCAAAGCAGCTCAACACTGGATCTCTACGTGAACCAGAGGAAGATAACACGGCTGCTACACCCAGCAAAAAGCAAGCCATTAAAGCACTTACTGCTCAGGTTCATTCTCCTCATTCTCTTAACAAATAGACTTAATTAAGTTGCAAAATATGTTATTAAGTTCAAATGTCTGTTTGTTTATATGTTATTTTGATGATTTTTTTAGATCAAGGATATGGCTGCTAAAGCTTCAGGTGCATATAAGAACTGTAAGCCATGTTCAGGGGGTTCAAATCACAACCAGAACCCTAACTATGCTGATTCTGAAACTGGGTCTGTGTCCGGAAGATTTCATTACTCGTATAAAAGGGCTGGGAGTTCAAATTCGACGCCAAAAATGAAAGGGAGATTGAAAGTGCTATCTAGTGGCGAAAGTACGCCCGTCTCAGTAAGTGGCCGGAGCGAATCAGTTGTCGGTATGGAAGATGATGATGAGTCAAAAGAGTGGGTTGCTCAAGTGGAACCCGGTGTTCTAATAACGTTTGTTTCCCTGCCTGAGGGTGGAAATGATCTGAAACGAATTCGATTCAGGTATTGATCTGTTCCATTTGCTTCTCTTTTCTCTGCTTTGATCTGTTCTTCCAAAGTTCTTGTTTGTTTGGGAGTGGTTACTGTTACATTTTTTTCTGCTTTTTTCTGTGCGTGGCCGAATGACTTTTTGATGGGTCGTTTTCTAGAATGTGATTTTTAATTGTACTGTAATGTAGTTGGACTGAATGGACTTTTGTGTATCTAATTGTGCTGCACTATGCCCCAAATTATGGAGTGGTCCAAAAGTGGGTCTTTTTGCCAAGACATAAAATATTGGCTTGGTGACCTTACAAAGTGAATATTAAAAAGGTACGAAAGAAGCATATACAATATTCAGGCTTCCAAATCCTATTAGTAAGGCCTTAAAAATTAACATGCCTTGCCATTCTTGATGGATATATCTTGCTTTACTTATAGGTAAAACAAGCTTAACCATTCTTGTTATGTCGTCGAGCTTTGGGCTTCAGTTTTCATGTTGACTGGCAGGGTTAAAGGGATGATTTAGTTGACTGGGATGAAGTTATGATTTTGGTATACATAATGATCGGCTTATTTAAGCGTGACATAGTTGGAGAGTTCCCCTCTTGCCAATATCATATAGATCAGGTTTTAGGAGGGTCTCATGTTCTACTGGCAGTGTGACTGGGTGTCCCCTCTTATATAGCAAATTATTGAAGACTTGTACATATATAACAGGGTAGAGCGGACCAGTTGTCTGTTCCACATGGCTGCATACCAGTCATTTGTTCTCAAATCTAATATCTGATGATCTTAATGAAAGCTACCATCTGGCATAAGCAGAAAAGTACTCCATGGACATTTTTACCGTATCATATTCCCGCTGTCTCGTTTCTATTATGCATGTGTCTTTAACAATGCTGCGGAAAAAATAAATTAATGTTTCTTGCTGACAACATTTGACCTTGTTTCTTTTCTTCTCAATAAAACTATAACATATATTTTCCTTCCTAGGTCAAATTGCAATTTTTGAGTATGTTATTGTGCTTTTCCATCTTCCTATCATAGAGTGCTTCCTTCTTCTACCAGTAATTATACAAAGTTTACTAATTAGCTTCTGCATCGTGCGTGAGGAGCAACTGAAATGAATTGCACCAAATTGTGTCTAACAAAATTGTCTGTGATGAATTAAAAGAATTGGAATCTTGCTCCTCGTGTCCCAGCACTTTTTGCTTACTCTGCTATAGCTCCAAAATTAGAGTCAATGCTGCTCTGGACTGCTGTAATCACGAATAGCCAGTCAAGTTCTGAGTTTTGGAATCTTCAATTGGAAGATCATCTCGACAAGATGCTTCTTTCGTTTAGAATAAAACCTGGTTGAAGTTGCAGACATGATTGGTCGTCTTTTTGAGCATTCAACTCCATTATGTCACTACTTATTCTGACGATCATTATTAACTGATGGAGGAAAGCAGTGATGCAACACTTGGCCTTTCTATATGAATAGGGATTGTCCCTGCTTTTTCATGAGCATATTTTTATGCATCTTTTATGATTGAATACATCTTCCACCTTCCCCCCATCTTGGTCATAGTTGGTAAACTGGTTGGGAGTTTTAAAATCTTACTGATGTTTTTGTCAGCCGTGAGATATTTAACAAGTGGCAAGCCCAACGGTGGTGGGCTGAGAATTATGACAAGGTCATGGAACTATACAATGTCCGTAGGTTCAATCAACAAGCAGTACCCTTGCCAACTCCTCCGAAGTCTGAAAATGAGGTGCGCCTTTGTTTTCTCCTCTTTTTATAAAACTGTTGCTACCAATCCTATTAAATTGCTTGGAGCAGCATTCTTTTGTTCCGCCTTGCTCTTTTGCTTTTACAAGTGCATGTATGTGTTGTATGTTTCTTCATTATATGTACCCTTTTCTTTCAGAACTTAAAGCTTGAATATGCTGAGAGTAGCCCCGTAACACCTCCACTAACCAAAGAGCGTCTCCCTAGCCACTTTCATCGTTCAACAGGTGAGGGCCACTTGTCGTCAGGCTCTATTGAAGGAGATCCATTGCAATCTCGTCATTATTATGATGCAGGTGGTCTTACTTCGACCCCTAAGCTCTCCAGCATCAGTGCGTCAAAAAGTGAGAGACCATCAATGGACGCTTCTGCACGGTCTAGTTCTTCAAGGGAGGCTGATCGCTCCGGAGAGCTGTCCGTTAGCAATGCCAGCGATGTTGAGACTGAATGGGTTGAAGAAGACGAGCCTGGAGTCTATATCACGATTCGAGCATTGCCTGGTGGTACTCGAGAGCTTAGAAGAGTCAGGTTCAGGTTAGTAATTTTTTTATGCATATATCAGCTCCTATGTTATAACAGAGGGCAATATCAGAAGTGTTAAATCTGTCTTTAATCTATGTAGATTCATCTTGCATTTTGCTGGCGTCTACTATAACTTTATCTGGAATTCTACAACAAACCTCTTGCTCCCTCTTCATATTCTCGAACTGATTAAAATGGAATAAGCAAAAGATTCTCACTAAATAAATCTGATGAATAGAATAGTGAAAGCAGTACTTGACCAACTAATCCATCTTCTTCTGCACCAACCTCTACTCTTGTGTGCATGAGTTCTGCTCCAAGGAATTTCAGTGGGGATGGAGGGTAATGAATTGTTAATGTTGTCATCCTCTCAACTGAATCTTTTATGGTCGATACAAGAATGAAATTAGTGTGTCACTGTTCCCTGATTCAGAAAGACACTCGTCTTTACTCAAAACCATCTGACGGCTGAATTACTGTATTCTTTGTCATACTAGTATCTAAATTTAGGGTTGACATCCATCTGGATGTCTATATTTGGAATGTTTTCTGGTGCTTTCCATTCTTTTGATTGAGAATTGAGATCCTTTTAATCTTGGGAGACATTAATCTGTAAAGCTGTGTACTGCTTCAATGAACCGTCCATTAAAAATTCAAGAAAAAGATATGTACTTCTGATTGAATAACATCTTGTTTATTCATATCATGATTGAAAGATTAAGTACAGTCTGCGCTCTTTCTGACATGGAATGAGCTTTTTATGCAGTCGTGAAAAATTCGGAGAAATGCATGCCAGGTTGTGGTGGGAAGAGAACAGAGCCAGGATCCAAGAACAGTACTTGTGATTTAGGACAGACTTTGGAGTTCAAATTTAAATTTATCCATAATTGGTGTCTCTATGCTTGTTTCTTTGACATCAATCCTAGTGTTACTCTTTTTTGTCTTCTTTCTCTTTTAACTAGTGCTTTTTAGGATTTTATGTGGGTGAATTTTTTTTAGAAACGAGGGTTATTTGAGGGTGCAATGATGTGTAGTGATTGTTAATGAAGAAAATTGCGAATCACATGAAACGTAGCTCGTGTTAATATATCTACCTACTTTAGTTTGATTTATGAGATTGCATTTTCATACTTGTGTTAATATATCTACCTACTTTAGTTTGATTTATGAGATTGCATTTTCATACTTGTGTTGATTGAAGGATTACAAGGACAATGACATCCACCACAGTCAGCATGCTTGTGTGTACCCTGTTAATTTGGGAGTGATTATTTTGAATTGTAATATGCTTATCAACTTTTTAGACTAGCTTTAGAAGTGGCAAAATTCAAGTACTCCACTTTTTAGCTAGCGTTTGGCCATAGATCGCAAATTTATTTTGAAAAATCTGATTTGGGTGAAATTTAGTTTGAAGATGAAAATGTGTTTGGACATACGTTTTCAAAATATATTTTTCAACTTTATTTTGGAAAAACATGTATATAATTCCCAAGTTTTGGCCATAGATCCCAAATTTATTATGCGTGATGCATCTTTTATATGTTTTGGAAGGGGTATAATGGTCATATTATTACGGATTTTTTGTTAGTTGGCTACGAAATCAATAGTTTTTAAAAATAGGGTACAAGTTAAAAGGTGGCATAAATATAGGGTATGACTGCAAATCCCCCATTATTCAGACGTCTTAATCTTAAAAAAAAAAAAATTCCTTCCTATACCATACATGAAACTTTATTACCAAAAATGTGCACAGTTTCTAATTTACCCGCCCTGTCCACATTTTTCCTACAATTATTATACCATTCATTAAATACTAATTATTAGTAGCTGAATCTTCCTAATTAGGCGTGCTAAAATTCAGGAACAAAATCTTCTAATTGATTTTGCCACAAATCAAATCTGTTCAAAAGCTCAATTCGTCGAAATCAAATCTGTTCAAAAGCTCAGATTTGTTCTTCGATATTTTCGCTTAAGACACAAATCAAAAGCTCAGCTCATCGAAATCAGAAGCTCAATTTCAAATTGTAGAAATCAGTTCTGCAAAAGCTCTGTTCGTCGATATTCTCTCTATTTCTCAATCGCAAATTTTAGTAATACAAAGCAAATGAAAAGAGAGCAGCAATTCCACCATTGACAGCCATTAAAAAGTTTGAAAGTTTTGAATTCAAATTTGGGTTTTCAAAAATCATTATTTGTTTGGATTGGGTGTTGTTGAAAATAATCGGGAATATGGTTTGGAGTTTATATCTCAATTTTGAGGGGGTTTGGTAAAGATTAGACTTGGTTTTGACTGAATTTCAGATTGAAACTCGAAGAAGAAGAAGACATATTGCAGAAATTGTAGATTATTTGTATTCTGATTGTAGATGCTTTATTTTCTGTTTTCACAAATAAAAAACGGCTAAAACTTCTACAAATCTTTTGAAAAAACACAATTATGTCAAAAATCCCTATTATGCTACAATTGAATGGGAATTGGGATATAAAAATTTAATGTACCCAGTTTGTAGATATTTTGTAGATAAATTGTAGATTATTTGTATTCTAATTGTAGATGCTTGTTTTCTGTTTTCACAAATCAAAAAGGACTAAAACTTCTACAAATCTTCTGCAAAAAATGCAATTATGTCGAAAATCTCAATTAAACTACAATCGAATGGGAATTGGGATATAAAATTCAATATACCCAGTTTGTACATATTTTGTAGATGAATTGTAGATAATTTGTATTCTAACTGTAGATGCTTTGTTTTCTGTTTTCACAAATCCAAAACGACTAAAACTTCTACAAAATCTTGTGCAAAAAATGCAATTATGTCAAAAATACCAATTAAGCTACAATTGAATGGGAATTGGGATATTAAAATTTTAATGTACCCAGTTTGTAGATATTTTGCAGATAAATTGTATATTATTTGTATTCTGATTGTAGATGCTTTGTTTTCTGTTTTCACAAATCAAAAACGCCTAAAACTTCTACAAAATCTTCTGCAAAAAACACAATTATGTCGAAAATTCCATTTATGAGATTGGACGATCTTTATGATTTAAATGCTTACAAAAAAGTTGGCAGAAGAATCAGGAGTGTCTATACCAACCTATCAAAAGAGCTAAATAGATAGTTTTTAGGTTCCATCTTCACCTGTAAACTAGAATTTGAAAATGCTTTTTTATTTTCTGAAATACGTATAGATGCAATTTTCTTCAAATAATTGATTGAGATTTAATTAAATTAAAATTGCACTTGTTATATAGACGTGATATTCAAAGCATCTATCCCATAATAAACTTCTCCATTTCTACTTATTTGAGTATATTTTTCAGTAGAGGAAAGTTGTAGGGGACTGCAACAACATGAAAAGATGGATTAACCCGATGGGCAAATATGGGAATAAGACGACACAAATTTCAGTACTGCCCACTTTTGCATGTGATTTGCCCAATTCCGGGGATTTTTTCCCATTTTAAAATATTTAACTCATAAATTCTCCTGAAATTTAAAATATTGAAAATGGTGAGAAATTTGTTAAAAACGGGATATACGGAAATCCTTTAATTAAGGAGTAAAAAACGTCTCATTAATTATACCCTTAATTAATTATGGTATAGAATTGGTAATTTGGTATACTAAGTGTAATTAAGTCAAACCTTAAACATTGAGGGTAATAAAGTTTCCTATGTGGCATAGGAATGTAAAAATGAGGCCTAAATACCTTAGCTTCTAGCCCAATAGCATAATCAGTAAAGGGCCTATTCATATTCAACCCAATTGGCATCTGAAGCATTTGGTTTCAAAATGTGCTTTTTTTTGGAACAGCTTCTTCAACTTTTCCAAAAAAGATTTCAAACAAATACCACTAAAGAAAGTTCTTCAACACTTGCCCAAAGAAACAAAAACAAAAAGAATGAAAATTAACCTAAATAGTCGGACATTCATTCACTTAAATTAAAAATGATCAACGGATGTATAATGTACATATAATTCATATATAATATATTTATTAATTGTATATAGTCACTATGCAATTTATGTACACCGGCAGAAAAAAGTAAAAAGTGAATTCGATTAGTTATTTGTGTAATTATCCCAACTTTTATACTGGGGTATTAGATTGAGAAACATTTTGAATTTCTTTAAATATTTTCAACATTTTCTTTTGTAAAAATATTTTTCAGAGAAATCTTTCACCTGATTTTGAAAGAAACACCACTTAAAAATTTGTTTTTTATGTAATTTTAATTTATCTTTTTATTTGTTAATGAAATATTCTGTTTTTTATTTAAGTTTTTTGTGCATTTTTTTTAATATTAATTCTCTTCAAACTCGAAAAATGACAAAGGAAATGAACTAAATAACTAAAGCAGGAATTAACAAAACTCATCTAAAAATTAAGCATTTTTTGGTATGAAGTATTTCCAAAAAATCATAATAAAATACAAAGTGCAGGAGGAAAACTTCAGCTCCCTTTGCTGAAGTTTTCAAGAATGAACTAAATAATTACAATTTTAATTTATGTTTTATTTTATTTAATGAAAAATGATGTTTTTGTATTAATGTTTTTGTGCGGTTTTCTTTTAATATTAATCCTTTTTAAACTTATAAAATAACAGAGGAATTAACAAAAAATTATCCGAAAATTACATATTGCAGGACAAAATATTAAGCATGTTTTAGCAGATGAACTAAAAAAACTTCAGCATACTAAAAATTATATGAAAAATATTTTACATATTCCGAAAAACTTAAGCATTATTTGGTATGAAGTTTTTCCAAAAAAAATTAATAAAATACATAGTGTAGGAGGAAAACTTCAGCTGGTTCTGCTGAAGTTTTTAAAGATAAACTAAAAAACATCAGCATCCCATGCTGGTTCTGCTGAAATTTTTTAAAGATTAACTAAAATTTTAATTTATGTTTTTATTTTTACCCAGTGTAGGAAGAAAACTTCAGCTCGATCCGCTGAAGTTTTTACAGATTAACTAAACAACTTCAGCATCTCATGCTGAAGTTTTTGTTCAATATGTAATTTTAATTTATGTTTTTATTTTTACCCAGTGTAGGAGGAAAACTTCAGCTCGTTCTGCTGAAGTTTTTAAAGATTAACTAAAAAACTTCAGCATCCCATGCTGAAGTTTTTGTTCGATATGTAATTTTAATTTATGTTTTTATTTTTACCCAGTGTAGGAGAAAAACTCCAACTCGTTCTGCTGAAGTCTTTTAACATAAACTAAAAAACATCAGCATATCATGCTGAAGTTTTTGTTCATTATTAAATTTTAATTTATGTTTTATTTTTACCCAGTGTAGGAGGAAAACTTCAGCATGATATGCTGAAGTTTTTGTTCAATATTAAATTTTAATATATGTTTTATTTTTACCCAGTGTAGGAGGAAAACTTCAGCATGATATGCTGAAGTTTTTTAGTTCATCTTTAAAAACTTCAGCAGAACGAGCTGAAGTTTTTGTTCCTTATTAAATTTTAATTTATGTTTTTATTTTTACCCAGTGTAGGAGGAAAACTTCAGCTCGTTCTGCTGAAGTTTTTAAAGATTAACTAAAAAACTTCAGCTTCCCATGCTGAAGTTTTTGTGCAATATGTAATTTTAATTTATGTTTTTTATTTTTACCTAGTGCAGGAGGAAAACTTCAGCTCGTTCTGCTGAAGTCTTTTAACATAAACTAAAAAACTTCAGCATATCATGCTGAGTTTTTGTTCATTATGAAATTATAATTTATGTTTTATTTTTACCTAGTGTAGGAAGAAAACTTCAGCTCGTTCTGCTGAAATTTTTAAAGATGAACAAAAAAACTTCAGCATCTCATGCTAAAGTTTTTGTTTTAATTTATGTTTTTATTTTTACCAAGTGTAGGAGAAAAACTTCAGCTCGTTCTGCTGAAGTATTTAAAGATTAACTAAAAAACTTCAGCATCCCATGCTGAAGTTTTTGTGCAATACGTAATTTTAATTTATATTTTATTTTTGCACAGTGCAGCTATATTTCAGCTCGTTTTCCTAAAGTTTTTACATATGAACTAAATAACTTCAGCTTGATTAAACTACAAGATAAATACTTCAGCATATGTAAACACTCAGCTTGTTTAGCAAATAAA